TAATTGGACTTTTTTCTTCTGGTTTCAAATGGTGCTGAAAGCCAGCTGCTTCTGTAGCCCTAACATTTCTGTGTCTGCCTGGGTAGTGCAAACGTAAGTCAGCATTTATTTTTAATTGAAACAGAGGATCTGGTGCATTAAGTTTTGGAGACCTTAGACATCTTAGACACCAAAGCCCCGCGTTTGCTGGGATTACAGGCCTCCCAGCTCTTTTTCCCTTTGGTCAGTTGTATGGCAGGGAAATATTCCCCATCTTCCTTACCACCCTCGTGCAGAAGGGGCTGGTGTTTCTTCTGCCAAAGAAGCCTCTGCTGCACAGATTGGATACGTGGTATTGCCAGTATCCAAAATAGCCCTGGGAGCCCTTGGGGACCCTAAAATACATTATGAATCCTTGGTATGCCTGTTAACATGGATTGCCAATTTCCTAAGGGGAAAAAAATGTTTGGATGCTGTTAGAAACATGGCAAAACTGTGTCTGTTATTAGACCCTAATATTACTAGCCAAGTGTAAAGAGCGGGTAGTGTTTATTCCAGCAGCCTCTAAGGTTGGGTTATTGATTACAGAGTAGGAGATAATGTTAGAAAAAGGGAAAAAAATCACATGCGTTGTTATCAGTGTAGCTTAGCTCACTTGAGGATTTTCTTGCTCTGCAGTGCGTGGATTTGGGCATGCGTTCCCCAGTCAGGCTCGAGATTTCTCGGGAGCCTTCCGGAGCCGCCGGGGAAGAGCCTGGCTGCTGAAGCGGGACCCCATCCTCCCGGTGCTGCCTTCCGTACCAGCAGCGTGGGCACGGTGATAGCTTCTTAGTATGTCACATTATTTTGGAGATGATCCTTTCAGTATGAAAGGTTCAGGAATAACCACCTGTCTCATCCTCTCGTGTAAGGAAATGCCTTCACCTTTCACTTCGAATGCATTGGTACGGTTGGGAAAGGAAACAAGGGATAATTTCTGTGCTGTGCCCAACCTGATTAAATGATGCACTGCTTCTGGACCGTCTTGCTCCTTTTTGTTTATTACAAAGAACACTCTCTGGAGCTTAGCAAGTGCTTGGTTAAATTACCTGTCATATGTAAATTTTTTTTTTTTTTTTTTTTTTTTTTTTTTTTTTTGTGAGTTACTTTTTGTCCAGAATAGAGAGGTGGTGTGGTTCAGCCCAGGGCTGCATGGTTGCTGTACCTTGGGGGGGAGCGTGGCTGGGGCTGGAGGAGAAGGGCAGCCTCCAGCCTCGGCAGCAGCCCGCAGATTCACGGTCACGGGGGACGTGGAGCTGCACAGTACGAGCGGTACGCGGGGCAGCTTTTCCTCCTCCTCCTCTTGCTTTTCTGCTTGTAGCTCCAGGACTGTGTGAGTGTAAGAGAGGCATGAGTCGGTTTGCTTCGGATTAGTGGCTTTTTTTTTTTTTTTTTACTGTGTGGTTTATTCCTTCAGTACACGAGAGAGTCAGAGGGCTCTCAGCCCCTTGAGTGAGTTAGCCTTCGTGTTGCTGCTGTCTGCTAACGAATCCATCTTCCACCGCCGGCACCGTAAGGTACGTTGTGAAACAATTCCTGTAGTTTTACAGTATCAATCCAAGCGTGTAACATAGAAAAAGGCATCAATCACATAAGTATCGTACTCTGTCACAGTTACTAGATTGACTCCCAAGAGGAAGATCTAACCTGATAAATTAATACGTGGAAAATTAGTTTAGAAACAAGGCTTATTTAGTATCTCCCATCCCCAAGACCTCCCTTCCTCTCCCTGCCAGTTCGGATACAGCCACAGCGGCGCAAATACAGGTCTGGTTTGCAGCCTCAGACCAGCGAGTGTCTTGCACATCTGGGCTTTATCTGTATTAGATTGTGCTAAATTACATCTGCAACATGAAAGACCGTGTCTGAATTTCATGCAAAAGCATGTTTTTACATTTGTCTTTGTGTTGCTCGGTGTCACAATTAATTTGACTTTGAGGCTCTGAATGAGCAGGTACAAGGTAGGTTGGCTTTCTGTTAGGCGGTTGCATGTAATTCTCCCTCAAAACCATCTGCTCGAGCAGAAGGGTAGAAATTGCCAGCTCAACGTCTTGTTCGCCTTAAGGTCAACACAGGTATCTCCTTAGCCTTTTGTAGTGGGAGCAGTGGAGGGATTTTCAGGGAAAGAAACAGCTCTTCAGTCTTTGCATACTTCAAAGGCTTTTGCAAATAGCAAGGAGCGTTGCTGGGCAGAGACGTCTTTGGTGGCCAGAGTGTTGGCACAGGTTTGAATCCACTAGGAGAGGTATTGTAGGTATTGCCTGGCTAAGAATTGGGGCTAGCGTTATTAATTTTAAGGACGACCCCCAAGCAGATTTTTAAAGGCTTCGATTTGTTTGGTATTTCAGTAAAGATCAGGCCAGACTTACATCTCCTGTGCAGTGGCGCAGCCCCCAAAATGGATTTGGTTTTTCTTGCTGGTATCTAAATGCAAAGCTTTGATCACTCTTTAAAATGAGAGATCAGTTACCCTCCATGCTCTGTTCTTCGATAAACTCTAGTCAGGACAGTGACTTGTATGTGCTACTGGTTTATCTACTCAAAATCAGGAATTCTTGTTTCTTGTTAATGTTGTGGCAGGGGTGGCTCACCTGGTAACTGCTGAAAAAGTATTAAAAGGGAAATAAAGTCACCGTTCATGTGAATCCACCTAACCTACTGTTCCAGACAAGGCTCAAAACCCCTGGGTTAGTAAGTACAGATATAATGATTATTACTTTTCAGTCCTTGGTTCAATAGCATTGGCATTTTGTACCAGAGGCAGCATTGCTGTTGGTTGCATTTGACATGTAATAGAGGAATAAGAAATATTTTTGAGTTGTAAGCAAGAATAATTTTATTTTGAGGGGTCTATATCACAGGCTGTTTCTACTTTATGAAGTTAAAATAAACCTCAGTAAATTCATTCTCACAGCACCTGTGGAATGAAGGAGTTTTATTCTGGGGGAAAGAAACAGAGATGAAAAGTTGTTACACTTTTTTAGTTTGAAGTATAAATTTAAGCCACTAAATGCTGTATTTTGCTGGTAGCCAAGGGTCTAGTCAAACTTGATCAGGTATCAGTGGGAATATTCCTGTTGACCTTTGTGAAAATGGGACCAGTTTCTGGACTGGAGGAGAAGCAAGCGAATGTCCTTTATCTTCTCTTCTCCCCCTTTGAGGCTGCCCTACAATCCTGAAAACTATTGCCCCAGCCTATTTTCTTTAGAGAAAGTTAGGTTAGACAAACTGGGTAAGTAGTACCACATGAGGTAATGGCTGGTTCCCGGGCAGTGGCTCTGGATTTCACACCTTTTAAGTGTACCTCTATTTGCCCCTTATGGTTGGCAAAAGCCTGACTGTGACCAACTGGAGGCTGGAGAAGACAAATTTAGAGAGAGTTCACACTGAGTTTGCGTATGGTCTTAATTTTGGAGGCCAGTTTGCATCATCCGTATAACACTAGGCAGAAGTCAGAGAATCTTGGTTCCTTTTCTCCTGGTGACTCCTTTTTTTATTTTTTATTTTTTCCTGCATTTCATCTTTTTTTGCCCCATCCTTTGTGGTGCTTCAGTGATGTCTCTGCTTGTATATACCTCAGGCCTCTTTTGG